AGTTTCCCATTCAGGCAATATCCCTTTTGCACCTCTCTTTCGAACTTGGCCAAGGCTGCCGAATCCACTCCTACCTTGTGATATCTGAGGGCCTTGATGAGTTGCAATAGATCGGGGATCTCGAGTGCGATTTCCGGCACGTCTATGCGCACTTCTTTCCGTTTGGGCAGGCCAGCACCAAGTTCGACCTTTGACTCCTTTTCTGCTACCATAACACCTAGGACTTCGCCCTCCTGCCTCCTCTTCTTCTGGGGCAGGCCCATCTTGATCCACTCCTTCTTGTTGAACGCTTCCTCAATCATGATTTCTACCCTTTCTCTCATACCCTCCATCCGTGCGAAAGCCCCTTTTCGCGTGCTATCCTCGAATGACGGCGACCATGTTGCCGATTTCCGCCTCGGGGGGTCTCCTCCCATTCCAAGGAGTCGGAGGAGCTGTCCCCAGCTGGTCACCGGGTCCTCTATGTCTACCATGTATGAGCCATCGTGCAAGTGCATGCCTATCATCTCTACGTTCACGCACCACGGTCTCCCGAGGATTATGTCGTGGTCCATTTCCTCCATTACGGTCATCCGCTGAAATGACCAGATCGATTCCCTGACCCCTGCCTTCACAGCACACTTCGTGACGTACCCAGCGAACGGGATTTCCCCGCCAGCTCCCCGGATGCTCCCTGTTACTTCCTTGTTTACCGTACATCCCGTGATCGTTGCGAAATATCTCCTTATGAGAGTGATTGCTGCTCCCCCGTATACTAATGCGTCGGTGTGATGACTCCCGATCTGGATTTTCAATTTCCCTACGGGTAGCGCATGAAAGCTAAGCTTCGTCCCGGGTGGCGATCTCATGACTTCGCCGCCCTCTCGGTCGGGCAAGCTCAAACGGATGTCTGCAAAGGCCTTCTCGAGATCCTCCAAGTCCCCGCGACTCCTCTGCAGGTTAGCCACTTCTCGCGGAACTTCCTCCTCCCTCTCCCCTTCTGGTAATTCGGGGTTGTCGCCTATTTCTACTCGTCGCCGGGTCAACAGTTGTCTAAGCCCTTTGAGCAACCTAGGGCTAGCCTGCAGCATAGTCTGAAAAGACACCGACACCATGGTTCCTAGTAACTTGCTAATGGTGTCGTCGATTTCTGGCAAGGATAAGATCGAGATTTGGTACCTAAACTTCTTCTTGGCAGCGGTAACTTCGTCGGCAGGCTCCTCTTCCCTAGGTTTCCCATAGACCCTTTCCGGTTCCTCGGCCTCAGGCTCTGCTGGGGGTTCCGAACTTCCAGCAACCTCCTCCATCACGGCGTCGCGGTTAATCCTTCTCCCAGCCGTCCCTAGCCGAGTAGTCGCGTTCACCCTATCACGTCCGTCGTTTTCCAAAACAAAATCGACCTGCGGCCCGCGCCCCTGGCGTTGATCCCAGATGATCTCGCCCACCGGTTCGGCTTCTACGACCGTTATTTCTAGCCCGTTGAGCATGATAATGGCTCGCCGCATCCCTCCTGGTGAGTTCCAGTTCACCCGTTCCCCTTGTGGTCCAAATATCTCCCCCTTTAATGACCTGGTGCACCTTCTTTTGAGAATATCATGGTTGAGTTTTGGGCACGCGCGCACATAATGTCCTACAGTACTTGCATTGCTCGTTAGCGGGGTCTCTCCGTCCGAACCCACGATTGGCCACTTCTGGCGGAACTACTGCTTCCTGGGGCGGGAGGGGGGGACGGGATACTTGCGCCTGCATAACTAGTAACGCGCTCTCCATCCTTTCAATCTTGTTGTCGACTCCGTGCACCCGTTCGTGTAGACTTTCAATCCCCTTTTTTACCTTGTCACCCGTCCTACTGGTCAAGTCTATAATCTCCCCTTCCTTAAGCAAGGCCAATGTCTCGGTCACTACCGTCTTTTCGGCCAGATCCGTTACTATACTGAAATCAACGTCCCTGGTGTTTACAAATTTTCTCGTCTGTTGGTAAGCCGACAGGATCTTGTCCTTGTCGAACTCGGAGAACTGTCTGAGGAAATACTTACTCATTATTCGATCCGTAACCCCGGGGTTTTTTAGTGCTACCAAAGTAAACTCCCGTAGGAAGTCATTGTATGTTGCGAAGTTCTTTCTCTGGACTGCCGCTAAATCGGCCTCCGTTGCCATCTTTTCTGCTGCCAGATACTTTCTCATCATCACATCTCGGGTTTCTTTCCAAGACCGGCTTGCGGCTACGATGGCCATTATGTCCCGTCCTAGGCTCAAAGACACATGCTGTCCAGGTGGTCCATCTTCTCCTCTTCGGTCCATTTCAACAGCGCAACCAGGTTCTCGTAATCTATCAGGAATTGCGTGATGTTCGCCCCATCAAACGTCAACTTTTTCTTAGCATCCGCTAGGTAGCCTTGATTTTTGTTTAGTGCTCGCGCGAGGGACGACACTATCTTCTTAAGGTCGCCCTCGGAGTTGCCGGCCTCGCCTGTCACACTGTTATCCGGACCTTCCTTGCCGGCCTTCTGTCCCTCCCTGGTTTTCGTAGTTCCTTCTGGGTCAAACCATCCCAACACTCTTTCCCTAAGGCTCCAGAGTCCTTCGCACCCTCGCGTCACTGCTGGCGTGGTCGGCAGGCGGCTAGCCCTACTATCTATGGTTGGCGGGGTCGTAGCCTTTTCCACGTCCATCCCCGAAGAGTTCTCCCCTTCTTTCCTTCTTTTGCTCGGCGTTCCCCCACGGTCACTACCTTTATCCCCTTGTCCAGTCCCTCCTCGGCCGGTTCTCCGTTCGTCCCGGGGTTCCTCCTGCAGAGAGCCTTCTTCGTTCCCAGTCATCATTTCCTCAATCAATCTCGCTTGGTATTCCGCGGTCCTTTTGTCTATCTCGGCTAGTCTGCGCCTCGTATCCGCGACTCTCACTTTCTTAGACACGGCTCCTTCCGAGTTCTCCCGGGGCTTGTCCTATCCTTATTCCTCCCTTCCGTGGTCCCCTGAGTCCCCTGCCTGCTCCCCCCAGCTTTCCTTGAGCTTTCCCTTGTGCAGATCTCCTTCCGGTTCCCTTTGGTACCATCCGGATTTATCGATTCTCTGTCCTTCTGCCCCCCTTCGCTTTGTGCGGCACTGCCTCCTAAGCCCGGTTCTTCTTCACTCTTATGATTATCTGTCTCCTCCTCCGTTGCTATTTTGCCTAGTTCTGCATAAGCCAAAGAATTCTCAGGACACACGCAATGCGAGGTATTTTAGGTTTCCTAGGCTCCCATCCCTGTTGGCTTATCTGTATAGCCTCCTTTCCCATCCTCGTTCCCTGATTGCCCTTCCTTAAGGAGGAGCCACGACTGGCCCTGCCGCTCAGCCGAGCTATGAGCGTGACTTGGCTTCCTTTATCACAAGCCTGTCTGTCGTGCCCTTGTCCCGTCGGGCCGATGCGAGGGAGTCCGGGTTAGGCATTCTGCTAGGGAAAGTCTTTCCAAGCAGTGTTTCCTATTTTTGACCTTCAGGGTTATGGTCAATCATTAGGAGTCTACCCCCTTCTTTGTTTTCCTAATGGGTTTTAGCCATCCGGGTCCGAGGCCCCTTTCTTATTCCCATCGGCGGATTTCCGTACGCAGCGAACTATACTGGATCTGCCCTATTGGCCTGCCTGCGGATCCTAGTCCCGCTCGCGCCCTCGTGGTTCTTCCGGTTCGGTCGGCTCCTCGAATAGCTCAGCCACCCCTGCCAAATAGCTCTCTCCTATCTCGATTTCCCTTTGGATTATGCGTTCGTGCCCTGTCTGGTCTAGCCAGGGCGCACGAAATATCAGGATATGGATGACCTCCAGTAACTCGTGGGCCCTGTTTCCCCATAACAGCCCATGCCTGACGGCGACATCATAGAACATCCCGATGGTTAGAGAGGGAAAGTGGTCTGCCCACATTATTGCCGAGTCTGCCAACTCTCGCGCCCTTGCGAGGCTCCCAAAGACGAGATCTATCATAAAACGGGGGACCCGGCACCTCAGCGGCGTGGTTGGTGCTCTGAATTCACGCCATCCCCCCATTTCCACCCGGGTAAGTAAGCCCACGTTCCTTCTACCCCTGACTGATTGTCCTCTCCGGGTCAACGTCCGGGCGGCCCTTTGAAAAACCGGCGCCAGCTCGTGACCTTGTGCTATTTCTACCCCCAACGAGTGCCAGCCGATCTTAGGCAGATACATGGTCCCGGTAACTTCCAGATTGGAAAACAGATCGTCCCCGGGTCCTCGGTCGAGTCTCATCCCTGTCCACCGACATTCTACCAACATGAAGGCGGCGTCCCTCCCCAAAGTCACAGCTCGCCATTCTATATCGAACCCCCGATAAGTTGAACTCGACGGGAGGGATACTTCCCAGCGTCCACCGTTATTCCACGGTGGTCCGGGGTACCGGGGTTGGCGCACCATTCACACACGGGCCTGAAGTTCCATATGCTCACGTCTTGCTGCCATGGTTACCTTGGTGATTTCCTGCATGATCCACATAGAAAGTGTTACAGCCAATCCTTAGAAACCGTCCACCTACTGCCCCCTTGCCCTTCGTGTTTTCATTCCTCTTTTCTAGTCCCAACTATCCCTCCATACCCCCGGGAGCAGTAGTCTCCTCTGGGTGTTCGTACAGCCGGTAGAGATCATCTATGTAGGTCGCGCCTCGACCTACCTCTCGCCGGATGACCCCCCACATGGTCTCATCACTTATTTGGGGGATTCCCGGCCTAGTATTTACCACTGCTCGTAGAATGCAAAGCACCTCGCGCCCCTGTTCGTCCCCGAAAGGCCCCATCTCTAGAAAGACCCGGTAGCATTCTCGATACATGAATGCTTCGCTGAAATTTAGCCTCGTTACGGCAGTCACCGCCTGCTCCACCCGTTCTATGCCCCCCATTTGTCTTAGCAGGAAGGGCGGTAGACTCATCCGTACGACCTCACTTGGTAGCTCAAAGACCCCTGCCGCGGCGACTTTTACCTCCGCCGTTACGTCATCTCGTCCCGGGTCTGCAAACTCAAACCCCTCCCGCCAGGTTATTTGCCATGCCCCTTCGAACATTCGCACGGGGTCATCCCCGGAAGCCAAAGCAATCCCAAAGGTCCGCCATCCCTTTTCCGACAGGTGTAAGGATCCCGTCGCATGTACACGCCCCGGGCGATTCAAGTCTACGCCCCCGAACTCCCCTCTCGCACGCCATTCCAGCTCCACTACTAGGTACACTGTATCTTCCACCAATTCTACCCCCACCCAGTCCATTACCGGATTGCCTACCGTACTTCTTGTCGGCAGACTTATTTTGACCCTGCCTTCTGATATTCTTGGTGGCAGGATCCCACGAGGTCTATCCTCCCAGAACGTTATTCGTCGGGCCATCTCGCAATGTCTCCCTCCCCGCTTTCTTAGTCTGTTTGCTGCACCCACCGAGATTCCACGCCTTTCGTGTTTTAGTCCTTCAACCCCCCCTTACTTATCGTACACTGGTTCTTGCCGCTATCCCGTTTCCATGTCTGGCTTTATTTTGGCCTCCTCGCGTCCCTTGCTGACTAATGTACATGCCCCTTTCTTATGTTACATCCTAAATCACATGCATCCTCCATACTCCGTCCTTCCCGTGGCGCTCGAACTTTGAACCCTTCTAATCAAGCCACCGCACCTCAAACAGCAAAAAGACATCGTCCACATAGGATGGCGCAGCCGCCGCCTCCCGGCTAACTATGGCGTCCCAGGCTTTCGCGCTTACTTCTAGGCGGTCGTACTTGCCTATTCTTAGGACGATGATGACTTCCTCGACTTTATCTCCGTAGAAGGGCCCATATTTCAATGAGAGCCTATAGAACTCCTCAGTCAACCAGGCACACTCTATATGCACCCTTCTCATGGAGTCGGCTACTTATAAAATGTGCTCAACCCCCCCAAACCACTCGGCTTTGAATTCCGGTACCCAAGCCGTTAACCGTAGACTTGGAGGTTTGAGTTCCTTCCATCCTCCCATCACAACTCTGCTACTAACTTCGTCTCATCCCTCGTTGGCGAACAGCTTGTCTTCCTTTCGGGTTCGGGCCTCTGCATCCCCTAGAAGCCACCTCGGGTTCTGTCCCATTGCTAACATGGTGCAAAACAGGTGCCATCCATCCTCGGAAAGGACAATCGTTCCAACTACCTCTACCATGCCTTCTGCTATATCATCCCATCCTTCCTCTTCCCTTATCGGGTTCCAAATCCGCTCTATCCATACATATGACAAGTCCCGGGCAACCTCAAACCCAACCCAATCGCACGTGGTTCCTCTCCATCCGTTCCCTTTCGGTATAGACATTTCTATTCCTCCTCTGAGTCGTCGTGGTTCCCAGCCTTTGAAGGGGTATTCCATCATCCTTTCTTCTCTAGTCATCTTCCCCTTTCCTGCACAATACCAGGCCACCCGTCCTCCCTAAGTTAAGTTTCCCCACTCTTCTCAGAAGTCCCAATCCTCTATCTCCTCATCCTCGTCCTCATCACCGAAATCGTCCTCTCCGTTGTAGAACAACTCTTTCACCCCCTCCAGAAATGTCTCCTCTATTGCCACATTTCTATACACTATCCCCCAATGTACAGGGCTAGAGACATAAATATTGTCTATAAGCTAAGACAACTTAGTATCTTGGTCAGTTCGTCCGCCCAGTTCCCCTCAAACGGCCCCATTTCTACTGACAATCGAAAGAAATCCTGCCTAACGCATTGGTATAGCCCGAGGTTCGTCATGGACTGTCATATCCGTACTAGCCTGCTCCAAGTTCCGAAAACCGCATCCACTAGGAAGGGAGGCAGCACACATCGCATGGTTCTTACGGGTCGCCTCATGCTTCCTCTATCCCCAAGTTCCACCCGCACATCTACCCTCTCCATTTCCATCTCCCTTCGCGGACACGCAGCCCACACGACCTCCGCTTCCGCCTTCTTAAACAATTCGTCCGGCGTATTCCCGAGTGTCAATTCTATGACCATAGCATTTTCCCCATCTTGCGACAAGTAGACCCACCCCCGAGCTTCCATTGTTCCCCGGAACTCCAAATCCATTAAACTTGGTGACAACCTTGTCAAGCTAACATTAGCCCATACAGTCTCTATCCATAGGAACACGTCTTTCCCATCCAGCATCACGGTTTGATATGCTGGTTCAAGGTCCGTCCACGCCCCATCTTCCGGGAGGACGACCGACACCCCATCCTTTACGTCTACTGGCATCTCTGGACCGCTGGTATAAGTCGAGGGAGACAACCATCGCGCCATCTTGTTTCCAGCACCCGGCCCCTGCTTTTCATGAAAGAGTACCGACCGGTTCTTCTGATCAGGGCAACCCCTTTTCTTAAATGAGGATTATTTCAGACCCCCCATTAAGGTCTCCCTAATTTACCTTCCCATTCCTAAGTACCTCTTTTCCCATAATTCCCTCGGTCGGCCACCCATTTGTCCACACTCTTTCTCTTGGTTCCATTCCAATTGACCTCTATCCTTCTTCCTTCCGATCATCTCTCACTCGTGTGGACTTAGAAGGGAGGGGGAATAGACTTAGAAGAGTGTTCGTCCAACAGTTCAATCTCAATCAATTTTTACAGAGGGGGAACACATAAAAGAAAGTCAGGCAGCCTCACATACAGGTCGGTCATCTCCTCACCGGCCATCCCAATATGGTCTCTCCGCTGGTACTATCGGTAGGGTTTTATCCCATACCTCAAGCACAGCTCAACCGTCGCGAGCGCGGTACCCAGGTCTCAGCAAGGCTTTCGCCCTTTCCTCCTTACCCAGAATACCCCATCTCGACTTGCCGCTCGTGTACCCACCGTTAATCTCGGGAATCACCCCGCACATCTCGGTAGGGCCATTGGAGTCAGCCGTCCATGCATTCACTTCCATCGGTCCGATAAGGAACGGTTTTTCCCAAGCCATGCTATGAGAAGCTCTCAATCGCCTTCGAGGCTCCTTCCTTGCCCCATATGTAGTGGTCCCCCTGCCGTCTGCCGCCAAGCAACCGCCCTGCCTGAAGAGGTTTCACATCCCACCTGGGCAAGATCATCGAGCCATGCTCGGACCGCTCCGGTGAGAATGCTACTAGTCAGCCGACAAGACCAACCCTTGCCTGACAGTCCGGTGACCCGACCCCCACACACGGAACCCGGTGAACTTCAAAGAGGACGACCAACTCGCATCCCGCACCGGCCGGCGCAAATCAATCATTTTCTTCCAAATGGCAGGACGCTCGAAATCCCAATCATGCAATCACAAGTCCCAAGTGGGACACACATAGTACAAGTGCCTTTCCCTTGGTGCACCCAGCGCTTCCTACCCATAACTCACAAATTTTCTCTCAGGACAATGAGTGTCACTCCCCCTACTTTCATACATAGTGGTTGGTTCATTCTCGTGAGAGTCTTCCAGGGTGAGCTAGTTTTCCTTGGAGTCTAGCAACTCCCTTCATTCTCTTCTCTTCACTTGTCTGTCCTTTCATAGGGTAGGATTGTTCCTTTTTGATAACTCGTTGTGTTCATATTGGTTCCTTCAAGCATTTCAAAAAAAAGTGCAAAGTGCATGAGCCCACTGGGCTCACAGAAGGAGATAGAAGGGCACCCGTCCGGTCGGATCATTCCGCCGTGGGATTTTCATTGGAGCCTGCCCTAGGCCAAGCACCAACCGCCTGCCAGGTAACCGGAACCCTTCTTTCATACGAAGAGGAAGGGTCGACTTGCGACTTGCCCAAGGTTTCCCCGGACTGGCAAACACCAGCACCGGACGAAGGAGGGCTAGAGTCATTCCTCAAAGGAACCGCTAATCAAGTGCATAGCACGCATGTTATACCTCCAGGCCTGGCCATGCCATGCGCCCAGCCACCCTCAAATCTGATTTCTCACAAGGGAAAGAGCAAACATAAGTCAATTTTCCTTATCTTGGGTTGTGTACACGTCAATGCGTCGGGCGCCCCCGTAGGAATCTCAAGGGTCAATTTAACCCTTGCCCGTCGCCTCCACCATTTTTGTAGGGCCAAACCCGGGTAGACTTTCGAGCCTTAGTCGACCCCACTGCGGGTCCCAGTTGGCTCGACCCGCCCACACTCATGCTCAGAGCGCAGGCCATTCGTCCCAAGGTCATCCCCACCTAGTGCTTTGAGATGGATGGGGGTGGGCCATCGCGCGAGAGGGCTTTGACATTGGGGATGTAGCTCAACCCTCACGCTGGGTGGTAATCTCGCTGGTCGCTCCGCAACGCTGATTTTTTTTTTTTTTGATTCTTTACAATGTTCTCAAGCAATTGCTCCTTCCAATACGCAGGCAGTCCAGGGGTTCTTTGAGCCTTTCTCTTCTTTTGTGCGTAAGCTAAGCGTCATCCTTAGGCCACGCACCATTTCCCTAGGCATTTTGGCTATATGGCGTCATTGGGGTGCGGCGGGGCCATCCTCCCCCTCGCCTCTACGCATCCATCGGATCTCACAATTTGCTTCCCACCTTATTGAAGTACGCCCCTTAGTCTTTTCGGGGTCCTCATATGCATGCACAGACAACATCACATTTTTCTTGGTACGATTGCACTCCCAATCACACTTCCAAGTCTTAAATTCAAAAGTCATTTTCATGAGTTGGCTCTATGTTAAGGGTCCCATAACCCCTTTGTCCCTCTTCCCTTTCCCTCGTGGTGCCCAGTTCCTCTCGCCCTTATCCCGCTCAAGGCATCTCTAGCCATTACTCACCTGCACAGTCCCACACAAGCAAGAAGATCCATACAATGCCCCCCGTTAGGGTTGGGGGTCAACACATAGCCCTTCCCACATGCCTTTTCCATGCTCTTTGTCTGTGCTTTGTTCCCTCTTTGTTGTTCAATCAGCCCATCCTCTTCTCATAGTCATGCAGTCGGGGAAATGGTTGAGTCAAACTCACCTCACTTTCAACTTATGCTTTCTTCCGGATTCCGCCTCTCCCACTTCCCTYTTTGGACGTCCTCTCTCTTGCCTTCTTGGTGGCACAAGGGACCGGCTACCCCCCCCTTGTCCTCTTTCTCCACCAAGTGAGGTCTGATTTCGTTCTCCGCTCGTGCCCTGACAATGTTTTCCAAGTAAGGGGGGGGCGAAGGGTT